AGGCAGGTGGTCTTATTCTTTAGCAAAATTAGTTAAGTTCATGTTATCCCTCCTGTTTATTTATACAATTAAATTTTATATTGAATCTTAGACTTTTTTGAATTTATAATGCCAACTATTTGTCTTTCAGATTTCTGCTTTTTTTTTTTTTTTACATTTTTTAAGTTTGTTTATTTTTGAGAGAGAGAGAATGAATGAGTGAGGAAGAATCAGAGAGAGAGAGGGAATCTCAAGCAGGTTCTGCATCAGTGCAGTGCCTGATGTAGGGCTTGCTCTCACTAACTGTGAGATCATGACCTGAGCCAAAACCAGGAGTCAGAGGCTTAACCAGCTGAGCCACCCAGGCACCCCTCAGGTTTCTGCTTCTTATTAACTTCTGTGTCATAAAACCTTATGTAATGTTTGAGCAGCTGGATGGCTCATTTGGTTAAGCATCTGACTCTTGATTTCTACACAGGTAACGATCTCATCATTATAAGATAGAACCCCATGATGGGCTTTGTGCTCAGTGTGGAACCAGCTTATCTCTCTCTCTCTCCTCCCTACCCCTCTGATTGTGCTCACATGTGCATGCACACTGTCTCATGTGTGCTTTCTCTCTCTCTCTCTCTCTAAACCAGTAAATAAACTTGAAAGAAAAAAAACACCTTATGCAATGCAAAAATTTTAAACTCTGATTAGGCATAGATGGGAAGTTATTGTTTTTATTCTGCATTCTGGAGATCAGAAACTAGCTTTGGGCAAATCCAGTTTATTTTGTTAGGGTCTGAAATCAGACTTTCAGTGTTTAAGCCAAATAACATTACTTAGTAGAAGCTAAATAAATGTTTGCTGAACTATAATTTCTACATTTATTAGGCATACAACTGTGCACTTTACATAAATTATCACATTTAATCCCTGCAGTAAGGAGACAGTGAGTATACCATCTCCATTTTAGTGAGAAAAAGTTTCAAGTTAAGAGAGGATTAGAAACCATGAAAAATCACAGGTCTCTAGTGAGTGAGATTTGGGGATTTGAGTAGAACTGTCTTATTTAAACTATATTTTATGACCTCCTCAAACAATGAATGGCTGCTCAAAGTGGCTACTCTACAAAGGCCACACTCACCATCTCCCTCCTGGGAGTGAGTTAGTTCTTTCTCTGATTTTGTTTTTCCCCAGACCATTTTCCCCAGACATCTCTTTAATTTTATCTCTCTGTAACATACTGATTGATTTATGTGTTTCCCTTTCTTTTATAGTTTATAATCCTTTGAGAGAAAGTATTGTATGATCCATTTTGTTTTTTGTCTTTTGTCTGAAAATTATTGCAATTAGTTCTGGTCTACAACATACTGAGATATAATTGTGTAACATTGTGTTAAGTATAAGAAACACAACATGACGATGTGATATATGTATGTACTATGAAATGATTACTATAACAGGTTAGTTAACACATCACTTCACATAGTTACCATGTGTCTTTCAATTTGGATATCTGTTTTATAGCACTGTGCTTGGCACTTAATACATTTTTTTAAAATATTCTTTTGTTTTGTTTATTTATTTGAGAGAGAGAGTGCACTCACACACATGCACGTGAGGGAGGGGCAGAGAGCGGGAGAGAGAATCCCAAGTAGGCTCCATGCTGTCAGTGCAGAGCTCCACAACACAGGGCTCAATCCACTGAACCATGAGATCATGACCTGAGCTAAAATCAAGAGTCAGATGCTTAACGAACTGGGCCACCAAGGCACCCTGACACTTAATAAGTCTTTGAATATGTTGATTAAATTTTATAAAATATTCTATATTTGTTTTCTCACAAAAATCACATCAAGTTAATTTATTAAAATAGCAAAAATTATTTCTTTAAGTGAATTTAAACATTCACATGGTTTTATACATATATATATGATATGCGATTAGAGAATTACCGATTTAAATAAATATGATAGAATTTGTACATCCGAATTAATGTGTTTCCTTCAAAATAATCATCTAGAGAAGTAACATACTTTTCTAAAAATGCTACCAGTTTTTCAGAACCAATTGGAATTTGTTTTTATTTCCTTAGAATTTATGTTACTTCTTTTGGGTATACCGTATGGAAATAAGACCATGGTAAAGTTTCAAAATATTTCTATGTCATCTTTCAAGGAGATAATGCCCAGCTGTGTTAGCTTTAGATTTTTAAAGTTATTTATAACATCTTAATAAATATCAGTATACTTTTTAGCTATGCTGAACTATGGGTTAGAATAATGTTTCTGCCCTTTTTAATAAAGTCTTATTTTTTTAGAGTAGTTTTAGGTTCACAGGAAAATTGATAGGAAGATATAGATTTCTTGTGTCCTCTACCCCCACTCGTGTACAGCCTCTCCCATTAATCAGCATCCTCCACCAGAGTTGTACATTGTTATAATTGATGAACCTGCATTTATATATATCATCACCCAAAGTCAGTGGTTTGTATTACAGTTCACTCTTGGTGCTGTACATCCCATGGGTTTGGACAAATTTATAATGATGTGTAACCATCATTACGGTATCATACAGAGTATTTTCACTGCCCTAAAAGTTCTCTGTGCTCTGCTTATTCATTTCCTCTACCACTCCCCTGGGAACCTCTGGCAACCATGCATCTTTATATTGTCTCCATGGTCTTGCCGTTTCCAGAATGTCATATGATTGGAATCATATAGTATGTAGTCTTTTCAGATGGACTTCTTTCATTTAGTAATATGCATTTAAGTTTCCTCTATGACTTTGCGTGGCTTGATAGCTCATTTCTTTTTAGCACTAAATAATCATTATGTACCAGTTTTTTTTTTTTAATGTTTTATTTATTTCTAGGAGAGAGAGAGAGAGAGACAGCATGAGCAGGAGAGGGTCAGAGAGAGAAGGAGTCACAGACTCCGAAACAGGCTCCAGGCTCTGAGCTGGCAGTCAGCACAGAGCCCGACGCGGGGCTCGAACCCACGAACTGCGAGATCATGACCTAAGCGAAAGTCGGACGCTTAACCGACTAAGCCACCCAGGCGCCCCCAGTTTTTTTTTTTTTTTAATCTATTTACATACAGAAGGACATCTTAGCTGCTTCCAAGTTTTGACAATTATGATAAAACTGCTGTAACCATCTGTGTACAGGTTTTTGTGTGAACATAAGTTTTAAACTTCTTCAGGTAAATACCAAGGAGTGTGGTTGTTGGGTCACATGGTAAGAGTATGTTTAGTTTTGTTGGAAATTGCCAGTGTTTTCCAAACCATTGTACCATTTTGAATTCCCATCAGAAATTAATGAGAATTCCTTTTGATCCATCTACTCAGCAGCATTTGGTGTGGTCAGTGGTTTGGATTTTAACCAGTATTGTAGATGTGTAGTGGTATCACATTATTGTTTAAATTTGCAATTCCCAAATGACCTAGGTTGTGGAATATTTTTTCATATGCCTATTTGCCATCTGTATATGTTCTTTGGTGAGGGGTCTGTTCAGATCTTTAGTAGGTTTTTTTAATTGGGTGGTGTGTTTTTTTTATAGTTGAGTTTTAAGAGCTCTTTGTACATTTTGGCTAACAATGATTTAAGTCTTTATGTCTTTTGCACATACTTTCTCCAAGTCTGTGGCTTGTTTTATTCTCCTCACAGGGTCTTTCCTGGAGCAAAGGTTTAAATTTTAGTGAAGTCCAGCGTATCAGTTCTGTCTTTCCCAGTTGTGTCTTTGGTGTTGTATCTAAAAAGCCTTTCCAAACCCCAAATCATCTGGATTTTCTCCTATACTAACCTTCTAGGAGTTTTATAATTTTGCATTTTATGTTTACATCTGTAATGAGTTCATTTTTGTGGAGGGTGTGTTGTCTGTTTGTTTAAATACTTTTTTTGTCCGTGGGCTTGGTGGGGGGGGGGGGCACTGGGTTGTCTAGATGTTCCAGCATCAATTGTTGTAAAGACTATCCTTTCTCCATTGAGTTGCCTTTGCTCCATTGTTAAAGATCATTTCACTATATTCGTTTGGGTCTATTTCTGAGCTGTGTTCTATTCCATTGACTTGTCTATTCTTTCACCAGTATTACACTGTCTTGATTACTGTGACTTTATAGTAAGACTTGAAGAAATTACATATTATCATTCCTTGAACTTTGTTCTTCAGTATTGTGATGGCTGTTTCTGTCTTTTGAAAACATAGGTATTATGATAAAATGAGTGTTCAGAAGACTAGATATTATAATTGTATTTCTACCTTATATTTACAAGATGCTTAGTAAATGTTGCATTTGAAGTGTATACTCACCAGAAATATTTGTTTTCTGGTTTGAAAGAGAGAGAGAAGTAGGGAACAGACTTGCTGCCATGGTGCCATGAGCATACCTGTAAATGCCATTTCCTTATACTGATGAATGGTTCATTGTCTTATTTCATATTGTTTAAAGTCTAAATGGCAAGATAAAAAAGGACACATGTATGAATATACGTGATATTTTTAGTGACATTAAATTTTATTACTTGTGCCTGTTATTTCTTCTCCCATTTCTTCCATTCTTCTATTATGTTGACATTTGTATAATGAGGGCTTGTATGTTGGATGATTCATGTTCAAATTTTAAGAAGATTGTACCACACTCTTAGAAATTACATAAGCATTTCTTTTTCAAATTTAAGATTAATAAGTAAAATATTTTTTCTTCCCATCAGATGGTGTAATGAATTAAAATTAAAGTGAAGGGACCGATGTCATAATCTTTTAGAAATCAGTTTTTTTTTTAAAAAATTGTTTTATGAAACATTGTTAATACAGTGGAAAGGAGTTATTTAGTACTACAGGAGACATGATTATGTTTATATCTCAGGCCAAAGATGTTTCTGTCTTTTCTGATCTTTCCTCAGACCTAGCACATTGTCTTACACAATAAAAATTAAGAAATGAAAAACTGTACTTTGAGATAGAGTAGATAAACACCATTTTATTCTTCATACAAATATAAATTTCCAAATATACTTAAATTTGTTATTATAGTTGGTGACTAAAGGAGTAAAGAGCTCTGATATGTCTCCACCACTGGGACAACCTGAAGCAGGTGGCTCTCCATCAAAGCAACAGATGAAGCCTGTTATTTCTGTGACTTCAGCTTTGAAAGAAGTGGGTATGGTAAGTTTCCTAAAATTTAGAACCCCTCAAAGCAAAAGGTCATTAGAAGGATTAAATTTAATGAAATTATATTAATTCGCAGTGTTTCATTAAATTTTTCTAAAAAAAAGCCCATTATTTCTTAAGATTTTTGTGTGTATTTTACTGTGAGTATTGGAACCTCACTGCCAATAGGTTTATATCTAGGACCCACTAATACATAAAAATAGATTTAAATGATTGTCTCTCATTTTTACTTTAAAAGATTATTGAACAAATATATACAAAAATGTAGAGAAAATAGTGCAATGAACATTTGTAATGCAACATTAACAAACATACCCCACCTCTCACAATTAACAGTTTCATTTTTTTTAAGAAAAGATCGTTTTAAAAAATGTCTCTTTGATACTTAAATTGATTAACTTAACTCTAAGAATGAAGTCCAAGGCATGTTTACATTTATTTTAAAATTTTTGGCATAACAAATGTTAGAAGATTCAGTATAACTACACTTAACCCATCAATTATTTCTTTTCCTTTCTACTTATGAATCTCTGTCATGCCATATGGATAATGAAACAAATATGGACAAGTAAAAAGTTTAAACTTGGAAATATGTGTCAAGTATTCATCTAAAATGTGAAAACTCTGTTCTGGGGTTAAAGGAAATGGGCTCATGATACAGAATTTCAGCCTAGAATTCAACACAGAGAAGGAAAAAGGGTCTACTGAATCATGTAACACATTAACCTGATTTTCTCCTATCTTGTTAATTAATGTCTGCCTTTTAATTGCTGAGTTTCATTAAGTGTTTGCAGGCAACACTAATGTTACTGATACATCAATTTTTTATAGCCTTTGTGTTATCTTGAAAACAAGACTGAGTAGAAAAATACAGGTTTCTTGGTAACTCTCAAGATCTTCATATGAGAAATTATTATCCTTCAAGTAGGTTTAGTCTCCTTTTCTTTCTGATAACGACTTTGTGTGTGCTGCGTTGTTCACTTCAACTTTAGATACCACTGTGTGGTTTCCTTCCCGGTATCCTTCAAGTAGCTGTTCATCTCTCTGGTTATAGCAACTGCTAATTCCTGACTACTTTATGGGGTAAAATGCTCTTTGTCTCATTTAAATGTATTACTTTAAAACTGACCATTATACTCTTTTGTATTTTCCTCAAATGTTACAAAATTTGAGGTAATCTATGTAATGAAATGGTTTTTCTTTATGTGTTGTCTTGGTAAATATTGGTACTTAAAACTTTGAAAACTGCTATGTCTTACTTTGCATCTTTCAGATTACTTTTGCTTTCATAGCATTCATAACTACTAATTTCTTCTTTGCGTGTGTTTAAAAATTCTAGTTTGTCTAGATCACTATGGTTATACTAATCAAAAGACAGAATTTATATTATTGTTGGTATAAAGGACTCAGCTCATTGTTACTCTCTTTGTTTATTGAGAGAAACCAATTCTCAATTATGTTTAGTAGTATGGCTGGAGTAGGAATATATGTACATGAAACATAAAGACAATTTCAAAGTAATACAACCTATCCTGAATTACTTTATCCACTAAAACTCCCTAGCTCTAAATAAGAGAGTATACATCAGTTAATTTTTTTATTTTTAGCATTGACATAAAATTATCTAAAATCAGATGTCAAAAAGGAAGAGGATGTAATTAAATATGTGATTAGTAATCTAAAAATAAGACAAATAATTGAGAATTGGCCCTTCTGCTATTAAGTATAATGAAGGAAGCTGTGTTAACACTTTACAGGAATAAAAAATTCACAAGGAACAATTTAATAAAAAACAAAAAGTAACAAAAATATGAAAGTTTTTAAGATAGATATTTAAAATAACATTATTTCTTACTCTCTAACTATCTGTGTTTACAGGACAGTAGTTTAACTGATACCCAGGAAACCTTGGAAGACCTGCAGAAGACTAGCAATGCTATTTCAGTAGGTACAATTTTAAACCCTCTCTCAGTCATTTTACTTAATTGTATACATATTGAAGTACAACATTTTAACTGTTTCAGAGTAAGCGAGAAATATTACGTAGATTAAATGAAAATCTTAAAGCTCAAGAAGATGAAAAAGGAAAACAATGTCACTCTGATACATGTGAAGTAGTCCTTAGTGAAGATGCTGAAGAGCATGAAAAGGAAAAGTCAGTTTCATCTGATCGCAAGAAATGGGAGGCAGGAGGTCAACTTGTGATTCCCCTGGATGAGTTAACATTGGACACATCCTTCTCTGCAACTGAAAGTATGTATAAAATGTTAATAATCTGTTTTGGTCTAGCACACATGTAAACTTGGAGGCTGAGTACTCTGAAGGAACAAATACTTAGAGGGATTGAGAGAGGCTGGAAGAATTTCTTTGTATGTGAAAAACAAAGAAAACTATTCAACCTTACGAATAGCAAGGATTTGGGGGAGCTGCGGTGGCTCAGTTGGTTAAGCGTTCCACTTCGGCTCAGGTCATGATCTCACGGCTTGTGGGTTTGAGCCCTATGTCGGACTCTGTGCTAACAGCTCAGAGCCTGGAGCCCACTTTAGATTCTCTATCTCCCTCTCTGTCTACCCCTTCCATTTTCACGTGTGGTCTCTCTCATCTTCAAAATAAATAAACATTAAAAAAAAAGGATAGCAAGATTTTTATTATAAAAGTGTGTGGTACGACAGAAGAAACTAATGATATCATGTAAATTGTATTACTTTAACTCTTTCTACCATATTATATTTATCTTTTACCGGGAATAATTCTTGATGAGAACCAAAATGGCAAACTTTGACAGAATCTCAGAAAGGTCCCTTAGGTATTTAGCCTCAGGGTAGTGAAAAGATCTCACTTAATGATTCATTTATTCAGCAATAATTATTGAGCAACTACTATTTTCTTGCATTGTCTTACGCACCAGAGGGAGATACAATAATAAATAAAAACATGTGCTCTTGTTGCGCTTACATACTAAAAGGACACTTAGGATTATCAATCAACTAAATATTTTTTAAAATTTTTTTAATGTTTATTTATCTTTGATAGAGAGAGAGAGAGCAAGGGAAGGGTAGAGAGAAAGGGAGACAAAGAATCCAAAGCAGGCTCCAGGCTCTTAGCTGTTAGCACAGAGCCCAATAGAGCCCGAACCCATGAACCACAAGATTGTGACCTGAGCCAAAGTTGGACACTTAACTGACTAAACCCCTCAACTAAATATAGTTTTAAGTAATTTTTTAGTGGACTGTTTTCATAGAATTCTTTTTTGCGTTGGAGAAAAGCTCAAAGACTCCAACCTATGGTGTCTTTTATTTTGTTTACTTATTCAGTAGTTCTTCATGGGGTCTTATTAAATGCCACACACTCCTCAGCAATGAAGATACTATAATGGTTGACATAGTCCTCTCCTTAAGGAGCTTAAGGGTCTAGTGGAAAGGTAGACAAATATAGAGGCAATTATAGTTCCTAAGGAATATGCTAGAAATAATCCTGGCTACTCTAAGAATGTGTATTAGGACATAAATCCATCTTGGGGAAGCCAAGGAAATGATTTCTAGAAAAAGGGATGAGCTGAGGGATAAGTAGTTAGCTAAACCAAAAGCCAAGCCAAGTATTTTAGGAATAGAATAGCCAGGACCCAGGTGAGAGAGGGTGTGAAATTCAGGGAACTTGGTATACTTCAGCATGGATGACTAAAGTTCATAAGTCAGGACAAAGAATGGCAAGTAAAAAGCCAAGGAAGAAGTAAGCAGGGCCAGATCATGAAAGGTACTGTATATTGGCTCTCTCAAACATGAACTTATTCAGAGTGCAGAGAGTAGTCTTTGAAGCAAGGTTTAACAAATGTTTTCTGTAAATGGCTAGATAGTGAATATTTGAGACTTTTCTGTCCATAAAAACTCTATTGCGCCCCTTGGCTTAGCGGCCGCTCCTCTCCGGGTGCGGGTGTGGTGACGGCTGTTTTGGGAGAGCTGTGAAGCGGAGTTGTCTGTGTTACATGTGACCCTTATTTTCTTTATTTTGTACTTTGTTTCAGGCGTACGTTGATCTGGTCTTTGGAATTAGATGGGCTGGAGAGGAGTGTAGACAATTATTGAGGAATGGTGTTTTCCAAGTTTGTGTCGCTTCTAGGTGTTCCGAAGTGACCGACGTTGCTGGAAAATTTGAGGCTATGCGGTGATTAGTAGCAAGAAATCCAAAGCGGTTTTCTAGTCATTAAAGAAAGAAGAGGCTAGCTGTGCATACAAGAGAGAAGGCACTGGATGGACCTTCTTGTAATGCTTTCTTAACTTTGAGAAAATTGGTGTTTGGTTCCCTGGCCGCCTGCCCGGCGGATCCACTCCATCCTTTACCTCGGATCAGCTGTGGGGCGCGGCGCGGGGAGGTGGGGTGTTTTGGAGATTGATTTTTTTTTTTTTTTAACTGAGGGAAGCACATTCTTTTTTGATTCCCCAAACTTTAGTCAGCTGGTGAGGTTTAAGAGGGTAACTTACTTTGTCTTACTCAGTTTGCTTAACTTGGTGCTGAGCTTGAGTTGGTAGGAATGTTTTTAAAATGCAGGATTGGGGCAGCAGTTTTGTTACCACTTAAACATACGAGATATTAACCAATACTGCAGACAAAACTGGCGATGTTTGTTGACTAGGTAAAAGAGTCTCTAAAAATAAGTGAATATTGGAGGAAAACTCGGTGTTCTGGAATGTAGATTACTTGAGAAAGAGGTTCAGCATGGAGTGGTTTCTGCTATTTCCAGTTTCTAACTAGCCGTTTTCTTGGGCAAGTCACAACCCCTCTGATCTCAATGTTTGTTTCGTCTTGCAAATCGTTTCATAATACTATCCCTGCTTTAAGAGATTGTTATGATAATTAAATACCTCGTGTTAGTAAAAGTGGTGTACAATCTTTATCAAGCATTACAAATACAGAAGTTGCTAAGTAATACGGTTTTATAGCAAAAGTCAGGTCTTTCTAATCCAGCATACTGGAAGAGTATAAACGGTGAATGGATCATGAAATAAGATGTATTTGAATATATTTAAAGTCTGTTGTAACTATTATTTTTGATTCTTCCCCACTTGTCACCTGATTACTCAGATCAGTGTCAAGGTTGCCATCATTTTTCTGTAGTTTTAACCTAGATAGTCATTAGTTTTCTTCCCCAGCCCTTCTAGAATTTTTACGTGATTTTTTTAAAAATCCAGGCCAGTTCTATCACATTTATTTTTTACATTTATTTTTTGTGTGTCATACGTGCCATTTCTAAATAGCAGTTGCTTACTTACTCTTATTATAAAATAATTTGGAAAATAAAGATGAGTTCAAATAAGAAAAAAAAAAAAAAACTCTATTGCAACTACTCTACTCTGTCCCTATTGTGTAAAAGCAGCAAGAGACAATATGCAAATGTATTAGCTGGCTTTTTCTAATAAAATTTTATTTAGGGACACTGAAATTTAAATTTATTAAGCTTTTCTTTAAATCTTCTATTTCTTTTCTCAGGCTTTCTATTTTCTCATTGCTGTGAAATGCATTCATTTCATGATTATTTCCTGGAATATTTTTATAATAACTTTTTAAATCTTTGTTAGATAATTCCAATATCTGTGTTATATTTGTGTTGGTTATTAATCAGTAGCTGTCTCTCATGAGAGTTAAAATTTTCTGGGTTCTTCTTTTTCTGAGTAATTTTGAAATATATCCTGGACATTTTGAATATTCCCTTATGAGACTCTAAGCCTTTGTAAATCCTGGGGAGAATGTTCATATTTTTGCTTTAGCAGGCAGTCGACCCAGTTAGTCAGGTCACAAGGTCCTATCTGCCTTTGTGGCCTGTGGTTCTAATCTCAGTTCATTTTTCAAAGCCTGTCAATGCTGTTTTGGTCTGCTAGCATGTGTGTCACCCAGTGACTGGACTGGGACCTTGGCAGTCATCTTCTTGTTAATTCAGTTTTCAGAGTTTAAGATATACTGAATAGGATCACATCCATGTGTGTGCATGTGGCAGGTGAGCCCAGACAATAATAAACAACTTTATGGGGTTGCTTTCTTGATTCCTTTGTCTTTATCTTCCTGGTATTTTCTGGTTGCTCCGGGCTTCTCTCTTTTGTCATCTGGTCAGAAAACTGAGGCTTTACTTACTCTGTTCTATTGTGTACTTGGAGCCATGTGGCTAAAAGGTAGAGAAAAATAGCCATGGGAATTTAGCCCCATCTTCTAGGTACTACATCTCTACCAAACAGAAAGGAAGCTTCCTTGTCCTCAATTTGATCTTCTGTGTATTCTGATTAACAACTGCTACTCTTGTCACCATGGGATTTTGTGGGGGAGAAAGAAGATGACAAAGTAAAGAAAGAAAAGAAAAGCACTGAAGGATTTCCTCACACCAAGTGGTAAGATTTCCCTTCCTAGGTCCTAAGGCTAGAACTAGAAGACCTGTCCTAGAACTCTTTCTTTAACCCGATGCCATTTACGGATAGCTGCCGTGTTGAATCCTGACTGGGGAATGTCTCCTTCCCTAATCCATTTGCTGCTACTCTTTGTTTCTTTTTCTTTTCTTTTTTTTTTTTTTTTTAACAAATAGTTTATTGTCAAATTAGTTTCCACATAACACTCAGTGCTCATCCCCACAAGTGTCCTCCTCCATGCCCATCCCTCCTCCCCCCCACATCCATCAGTCCTCAGTGTTTGTCAGCATTCAAGAGTCTCTCATGGTTTGCCTCTCTCCCTTTCCCCCACCATTTCCTCCCTTCTTCTCCCCCTTGTTCCTCCGTCAAGTTCCTCCTAATCCTCCTATACGTGCAAACATATGATATTTGTCCTTCTCTGCCTGACTTATTTCGCTCAGCATAACACCCTCAAGGTCCATCCATGTTGCTACACATGGCCAGATTTCCTTGTTTCTCATTGCCATGTAGTATTCCATGGTATAGATAAACCACATCTTCTTGATCCATTCATCTGTTGATGGACACTTAGACTCTTTCCATGTTTTAGCTATTGTGGAGACTGCTGCTATGAACATTGGGGTACATGTGCTCCTAT